GGGGGGGGGGGGGGGGGGGGGGGGGGGGGGAGGTTTCCTTGCTCAGTAAATATTAAAAAAACAGACAAGAGCAATTTTACTCTTACACATATGGTACTGAGACTGGAAAAATAATCAATCTGTCTTGTGCTGCTTGTTAAAATGTTCACTGTTATGTGTATTATTCATCTATCCATTTATTTAAGGAGGGAGGGGGGCATCATAACTAAGTGAGGAGCATGTGTTCAATCTGACCTTCCCCTTATATCCAATTTGACTTGGTGAAAAATGAAGATAATTATTAATAAGCAAACAATAAACAGGTAATCATCCTTCATTTCTCTCACAAAAGTTACCTCAAAAGCACTGTAGTTAGGTGTGGTCAGGTAATCCAGGTAGTTCTTAGTTGGACGATATCTTCTGGTCTCTTCATCTACCAAGGCAAGAGCCTGAAATAAAGATCGAAAATACATATCTGCTCTCTTCTTGTTATGTTGCCTATGTGGCGTTAGCACCCAACGTTAGCCGTTAAGACGGTTTCAACAACTAACGACTGGAACTCTTCATTATCATGCTATTTTCAGGTGGAAATGAGATCAAATCAGTTAGATATTAGTTAGTGAATAGATTTGTGAAAAACTGATGTGTCCTCACCGCTTCTTTCACTCCAGGCTCATCGTAACCTTTGTCAAAATAAGGGAGAGCGTCAACAACAACCCCGTGCTCGCTCGCCATGATGGATTTTGTCAGGGTCGTTGTCTCGTTTTCGCATGGCTGTCTTGTCACGGTCTCAGAGCATTAACGTGCACAGACCGTCATAACATTTTGAGACTGCAGCAATTTCTTGAAAATAGCGAGTGGATGTAACATACACTTTGCCAGCGATTGTTGTAACTGACCAAACCACCCATCATATACGTTCACTCTTGTTTTGGGGTGCTTGTGTGCGAGATTGGACGCTCTAGATGCCTGGAGTGCATACGAAGCTCAGTCAAATCACGAACCGCTCGAGTCACGTCACGCCGGTAGTGAGTAGGAAGTTTGTTATTACTTGGTAAGGTGGATATGTTAAGATGAATATCATCGTAAGTATGCGTATATTGTCAGTTGAAAATAATGTATGCATTCCATTCTACTCAATAATTCAAGCGTCCAAAAATATCATTATAGTTTTTTTTTTTGACGCGGCGTAGATGTAAACTTGGTCGTATACTGATTACTGTGCCTAGTAGTAGTACCAGGCGACCGTCAGTGATTAGATTATTATAAAGTGACCGTAACAAGGTGTTCAGATATGTAGGAAGTGTTCATGACCCTTGAACTCGTGACGCATGATTTAATGTGGCACAGTTGTCAAGTGCTGACAGTAGACCGTAGCACGGTGACATTTTTATTATTTTCTTTTGTTATTCACAATTACTGATCGAGTTTTTTTTGCATGTAACAGGCACGTGTTTTTATGATAGTTGTCAATACCAGAACAAAATGAGTGGTCGAATCCCACTTGAAGAAGAAAGCATCCATCTTCTGCACCAAGATGATGGTTATTCAGAATATGGTAGGTAAAGATGATTTAAATGTCAGCTAGTATATACATTTCTCTCTTTACTGGTAATTAATGAAGTGTATTTCATAAAATTATTTTAAACTTACATCTAGTACATTTAGGATATCCTTGAAAAAAAATAATGAATGAAAGCAAGCTAGCATGCATGTAAAGAGACAAATTAAATAAATGAATAATTATACATTATAAAATAAATAAATTATTCAATACTAAACATGCAGAAAAGTAAATAAACATAGTATTAAAAAATTAAGCATATGACCGATGACCTATAACAGTTACTGTGTAATATCAGATAACTATAAACTATAAATTCAGGCTCTGGTAATAATGTGATCAGAAGAACTTCCACCAGGCGTCGTAGCACAGTCCCAGGGCTTAGTGATGTAGACTACATGAGACGATCTAGATATCGTCAGTTTTATACAGAGGCAAGGTAAGATATTTAATAATGGCTATGACTACATGAGACAATCTAGATACCATCTGTTTTATACTGAGGCAAGGTAGGATATTAAATAATGGCTATAGTATATGACTACATGAGACGATCTAGATATCATCAGTTTTATACTGAGGCAAGGTAGGATATTAAATAATGGATATGACTACATGAGATGATCTAGATATCATCAGTTTTATACTGAGGCAAGGTAGGATATTAAATAATGGATATCACATTAACTTAAAGTTTATCATACATGTATAACTTTTCAGATTTGCAGACTTAGAAAAGTGAAGAATGCTGAATGAAATGCACAGTCTCATTTCTAGGACCATGCACTTTTTCTTAAAATTTAACCGATCTGTCATCTAAGTACACCTTGCATGTACTGCATATTTGCAGGTCAAATGACACTGGACAACTTTACCAAGGTGATGGAGGCAGGTACCAGGACAGAGGCTCTGTGAAGGAGAGTATCAACTTCCACCTCCATTTCCTCCAGAGCTGTAGAGAACAACCCTGGCCCATGAGGCAGAAAATACAGGCTGCTGAGTATGTACCTACATATGCTTACATATGTGTGCACAGGTTTATGTGGACATATGTGCATGTTCTAATTTTGGTATTTTAGGTAAACTATACAAGTTTGTACAAGGCTGTAGCTGAGGAGTTTAATGCAAATACAAAATGTGATTTACAGTACATGTACTTTGGCTGAGAAATTTCCTTTTTTGCCATTTTGTCACAGGTTTGGTGAAACTCTATTTTGCAGGCTTGTAACCAGAATTTTCAAAGGGGTGTTCTTCTTCTGGAAAAGTTGATCTTTTTACCAATTTAGCACATCTGGCCTGAGAAATGGCATAGAGCAAATTAATATCCAAACAGAACCTTTTTCCAGCCAGAAGGCTGGTTCTTAATTCCTAACCTCATGAACATCCACTGCCTACATGTGTCACCTTGATGTGGTATCTGGCAATACTCCATAAAATAATAAATATGATTAGCCCAAACATGTGCTGTCAAATTATTTCACCTTGTAACCTTTTGGTTTCAATAAACTATCTGATATCAACAGGTGTAGATAGTGGGATTGGGACTGAAACAAATAAACAAACGTTATTAATAACGATAACATCTGATAACAGTGTACACGTTTCAGATTTGTCAACTGTTACAGAATTTATTTCATTGTCATTAACTATTCCTTGTTGACTAATGTAACACAGACAACGATGAGTTCACAAAATATATTGTAATGTTTGAATTATGGCATTTGAATATATTGTTGTATGCAGTATTATCTGATTTCAGACAGGCCCGTGAGTTCTTAAGACTACAAACTGGAAGATTGGATACTATAGACAGTTTCCAACACAGACAGCTACAGGTGATACAGTGTGTGACAGGAAAAGAATTGAATGACAGCAGAATAACAGTTTTAACTATGAATTTACTTTGTGGAAGGAAATGTACAGTTTAACATGTTAATTTGATTGTTGTATTATTTTCATTGTGTAATATTTTATACAGAAAATATTCTTGATTCATTTCCAATTGCTTATGGTATTTTTTTTTCCCAGGCTGTAAGAGAAACTAGCAGAAAGGCTAATGATACTATATTCAGTCTCTCTATTTGGAAAGGAAAAATCAAGAAAATAGAAGGTAACTATGTCTTTGCCAAAGTTTCCTCAAATAAGTTTTAGTAAGAACTTAGCTATGGCTTTAAAACATTCAATACGCTAAACAAAGACTAATTTTAGGTTGAACTGATGATTTTTGGTAGATGTACCCCTGGTCTTTCCTTTTATTTGTATAACTCTGCCTCACGCTTTATTTTTAGCCTACTTTGGAACTGGTGTGTCGTCCTATTTTGTTTTTTTGAGAACTTTGCTTTGGCTGAACCTGGTGATGGGAGTGTTGGTTTTCTGTTTTATATCTCTGCCCCAGGTAAAATGTTCATATCATAGTTTGATTTTGGACACAATTTCATTGTCATATCTGACATGTCACATGTAACACACTTTCACAACAAACACACTGTCACACCCAATACAGTGTTACAGCTAACACACTGTCACATCTATCACATCGTCACATCTAACACACTGTCACATCTATCACATCGTCACATCTAACACACTGTCACATCTATCACATTGTCACATCTAACACACTGTCACATCTGTCACATTGTCATAGCTAACACACTGTCACATCTATCACATAATCACAGCTAACACACTGTCACATCTATCACATTGTCACAGCTAACACACTGGCATATCTATCACATTGTCAAACCTAACTTGGTTTTACATCTTACACATCGTTGCATCTAACACATTTATTTATCAAGACCCAATTTACACTTAAATACTGAGTACATGGTCATGGAATGAATATAATAATGCAGGGCATAACAGTTGCAATCAGCTACTAAATTATTTATTTTTAACAATGAATGAAACAAAGTTACATTACTGTTTTGTGTGCTGCACCCTTTACTGAAAAATATACATCTACATTACAGGTTCTCATTGGAGATGGCACTGTTCTGAATGCGACATTTGGTTTGGTATGTCCAAGCTTTATTTGATACTGAGTCATGCATGCATATAGTATTTAAGTGGTTTTAGAATCAACGGTAAAGCTTTAATTCATTGGATTACATACATTGCATGATATTGTCTAAAATGATCATTCATTATGTGACATTGGTGTCCAAGATAATACTTTTTTTCTGGCTCTTTTTAAGCACTGTCACATCCAACTTTGGATCTTAAATGTCTAACACACTGATATCTGAGACAGTACCAGTATTTCTTTTGATTGTCCCACTCACAAAGAACCAGTATTTCTTTGTCCCATTTGCAAAGAACGAAGATATCTTTTTAATTGTCCCACTCTCTAACTGATCACTTCTATCAGACAATATCATAATTTATAGGGAACTGAATTAAGTGCCATTTCATTGTTCAGTTATTTGCAGATCTGAAGTTATCAAAATGCACAAAAAATGATGAAAAATGACTGTAAGTTATCATTTTAGGCTACACACACACACACACACACACACACACACACACACACACACACACACACTGTAGAGTTCACAAATATAATCTCCAGACATTTTAATTATTTTTTATAGAGTCGATTGCTTGTGCACTCGACTACTTTATGACCTTACCTGTAATTATGTTACTAAAGTGGACGTGTGCAATTTGAATAATTAAAATTCGTATGTACCGCCAAATAATGCAGCACCGAATCCACCTATAGATAAGAAATATGTATAAAAGACGTCTAGAATTAAGATCGGGAGTTCAGAAGGAAGAAGACTCGAAAGAGACCGCTCGACGGAGCCATGGGAGNATATAAAAGGTTTTGAGCTAACTTAAAATGAGCACAAGTTTGCCACAAGCTTTGAATTCTCTCTTAAATATGTTTCTACAGGTATCTAAATATGAAGAAAATGGCATGACGTTAACCTTTTCATGCTCAGCATGTCCATTGGCAATCTGGCTTGGAGTCTCTCAAACTCATTTTTCATAATTTCAGTCTGGAAAGAACAAAGAAGAAAGAATATATCATATTAAAGGAGGAATTTACACTGAGGGATCTACCATTTTGCATTAGGGTGTGGATGTGTGGTTATGGTGTGTGTGTGGGGGGGGGGGGGAGAAGGTTTCCTTGCTCAGTAAATAAAAAAAAAAAACAAACAAGAGCAATTTTACTCTTACACATAGGGTACTGAGACTGGAAAAATAATCAATCTGTCTTGTGCTGCTTGTTAAAATGTTCACTGTTATGTGTATTATTCATCTATCCATTTATTTAAGGAGGGAGGGGGGCATCATAACTAAGTGAGGGGCATGTGTTCAATCTGACCTTCCCCTTAAATCCACCTTTGACTTGGTGAAAAATGAAGCAAACAATAAACAAGTAGTCATCCTTCATTTCTCTCACAAAAGTTACCTCAAAAGCACTGTAGTTAGGTGTGGTCAGGTAATCCAGGTAGTTCTTAGTTGGACGATATCTTCTGGTCTCTTCATCTACCAAGGCAAGAGCCTGAAATAAAGATCGAAAATACATATCTGCTCTCTTCTTGTTATGTTGCCTGTGTGGCGTTAGCACCCAACGTTAGCCGTTAAGACGGTTTCAACAACTAACGACTGGAACTCTTCATTATCATGCTATTTTCAGGTGGAATGAGATCAAATCAGTTAGATATTAGTTAGTGAATAGATTTGTGAAAAACTGATGCGTCCTCACCGCTTCTTTCACTCCAGGCTCATCGTAACCTTTGTCAAAATAAGGGAGAGCGTCAACAACTACCCCATGCTCGCTCGCCATGATGGATTTTGTCAAGGTCGTTGTCTCGTTTTTGCAAGGCTGTCTTGTCACGGTCTCAGAGCATTAACGTGCACAGACCGTCATAACATTTTGAGACTGCAGCAATTTCTTGAAAATAGCGAGTGGATGTCACATACACTTTGCCAACGATTGTTGTAACTGACCAAACCTTCCATCATAAACGTTCACTCTTGTTTTGGGGTGCTTGTGTGCGAGATTGGACGCTCTAGATGCCTGGAGTGCATACGAAGCTCAGTCAAATCACGAACCGCTCGAGTCACGTCACACCTGTAGTGAGTAGGAAGTTTGTTATTACTTGGTAAGGTGGATATGTTAAGAATAATATCATCGTAAGTATGCGTATATTGTCAGTTGAAAATAATGTATGCATTCCATTCTACTCAATAATTCAAGCGTCAAAAAATATCATTATAGTTTGTTTTGTTTTTTGACGCGGCGTAGATGTAAACTTGGTCATATACAGTACTGTGCCTAGTACCAGGCGACCGTCAGTGATTAGATTATTATAAAGTGACCGTAACAAGGTGTTCAGATATGTAGGAAGTGTTCATGACCCTTGAACTCGTGACGCATGATTTAATGTGGCACAGTTGTCAAGTGCTGACATTACACCGTAGCACGGTGACATTTTTATTTTTTTCCTTTTGTTATTTACAATTTCTGAGTTTTTTTTTCTGCATGTAACAGGTGTTTTTATGATAGTTGTAAATACCAAACAAAATGAGTGGTCGAATCCCACTTGAAGAAGAAAGCATCCATCTTCTGCACCAAGATGATGGTTATTCAGAATATGGTAGGTAAAGATGATTTAAATGTCAGCTAGTATACATTTCTCTCTTTACTGGTAATAAAGTTTATGTTATAAAATTATTGTAAACTTACATCTAGTACATTTAGGATATCCTTGAAAAAAATAATGAATGAAAGCAAGCTAGCATGCATGTAAAGAGATAAATTAAATAAATGAATAAATATATACATTATAAAATAAATAAATCATTCAATACTAAACATGCAGAAAAGTGAATATAAACATAGTAATAAAAAATTAAACATGTGACCGATGACCTATAACAGTTACTGTGTAATATCAGATATAAAGTGAACTATGAATTCAGGCTCTGGTAATAATGTGATGAGAAGAACTTCCACCAGAAGCCGTAGCACAGTCCCAGGGCTTAGTGATGTAGACTACATGAGACGATCTAGATATCATCAGTTTTATACAGAGGCAAGGTAAGATATTAAATAATGGCTATGACTACATGAGACGGTCTAGATATCATCAGTTTTATACAGAGGCAAGGTAGGATATTAAATAATGGCTATGACTACATGAGACGGTCTAGATATCATCAGTTTTATACTGAGGCAAGGTAGGATATTAAATAATGGCTATGACTACATGAGACGGTCTAGATATCATCAGTTTTATACAGAGGCAAGGTAGGATATTAAATAATGGCTATGACTACATGAGATGATCTAGATATCATCAGTTTTATACAGACGCAAGGTAAGATATTAAATAATGGCTATGACTACATGAGATGATCTAGATATCATCAGTTTTATACAGACGCAAGGTAGGATATTAAATAATGGCTACCGTTCAACTGCCTCTTCCGTTTTAACCATACATTGCCCGGGCACACAAGCCACATAAGGCGACAGGCTACACGCAGAATCATTACTGACTGCCTGGACCAAATCTGGGAAAACGACCTTCTGCATTATGCAGTCAATAACATTAACTTAAAGTTTATCATACATGTATTACGTTTAACTTGTCAGATTTGCAGACAGAGAAAAGTGAAGAATTCTGAATGAAATGCACAGTCTCATTTCTAGGACCGTGCACTTTTTCTTAAAGTTTAACCAATATGTCATCTAAGTACACCTTGCATGTACTGCATATTTGCAGGTCAAATGACACTGGACAACTTTACCAAGGTGACGGAGGCAGGTACCAGGACAGAGGCTCTGTGAAGGAGAGTATCAGCTTCCACCTCCATTTCCTCCAGAGCTGTAGAGACCAACCCTGGCCCATGAAGCAGAAAATACAGGCTGCTGAGTATGTACCTACATATGCTTACATATGTGTGCACAGGTGTATGTGTACTATGTGCATGTTCTAATTGTGGTATTTAAGGTAAACTTTACAAGTTTGTACAAGGCTGCAGCTGAGGAGTTTAATGCAAATACAAAATGTGATTTACATGTACTTTGGCTTAGAAATTTCCTTTTTTGCCATTTTGTCACAGGTTTGATGAAACTCTATTTTGCAGGCTTGTAACCAGAAATTTCAAAGGGGTGTTCTTCTTCTGGAGAAATTGATCTTTTTACCAATTTAGTACATCTGGCCTGAGAAATGGCATAGAGCAAATTAATATCCAGAGAGAACCTTTTTCCAGCCAGAAGGCTGGTTCTTAATTCCTAATCTCATGAACATCCACTGCCTACATGTGTCACCTTGATGTGGTATCTGGCAATACTCCATAAAATAATAAATATGATTAGCCCAAACATGTGCTGTCAAATTATTTCACCTTATAACCTTTTGGTTTCAATAAACTTTCTGATATCAACAGGTGTAGATAGTGGGATTGGGACTGAAACAAATAAACAATCGTTATTAATAACGATCACATCTGATAACAGTGTACACGTTTCAGATTTGTCAACTGTTACAGAATTTCATTGTCATTAACTATTCCTTGTTGACTAATGTAACACAAACTACGATGAGTTCACAAAATATATTGTAATGTTTGAATTATAGCATTTGAATATATTGTTGTATGCAGTATTATCTGATTTCAGACAGGCCCGTGAGTTCTTAAGACTACAAACTGGACGATTGGATACTATAGACAGTTTCCAACACAGACAGCTACAGGTGACACAGTGTGTGACAGGAAAAGAATTGAATGACAGCAGAATAACAGTTTTAACTATGAATTTACTTTGTGGAAGGAAATGTACAGTTTAACATGTTAATTTGATTGTTGTATTATTTTCATTGTGTAATATTTAATACAGAAAATATTCTTGATTCATTTCCAATTGCTTATGGTATTTTTTTTCCCAGGCTGTAAGAGAAACTAGCAGAAAGGCTAATGATACTATATTCAGTCTCTCTATTTGGAAAGGAAATATCAAGAAAATAGAAGGTAACTATGTCTTTGCCAAAGTTTCCTCAAATAAGTTTTAGTAATAACTTAGCTATGTCTTTAAAACATTCAATACGCTAAACAAAGACTAATTTTAGGTTGAACTGAAGATTTTTGGTAAATGTACCCTTGGTCTTTCCTTTTATTATGTACAGACACAGATGTGTCTGTACATATAGCCATCATCTGCGTCTGTCGTCGCCGTCGCCGTCGTCACCGTCGCCGTCGTCGCCGTCGCCGTGCACTTTTACCGATAACACAATAAATGGAAAACTGTTTTTTCTTTTGGTATGAAACTTACAGAACTGATGAATATTCATAATACGCAGGTCAAGTTCGAAAATCAGCATGATCGGGTCACTTTTAGGGAATTTATGCTGTTTTTTCACTTTTTTCAGCATATATGCAGCACTGATAACACGATAAGTGGAAAACCATTTTACCTTTTGACTTGAAACTTACAAAACTGATGAATAATCATAATACGCAGGTCAAGTTCGAAAATCAGCATGATCGGGTCACTTTTAGGGAATTTATGCTGTTTTTTCACTTTTTTCAGCATATATGCAGCAC